ACGTGCTTACATAGCTCGAATTATATAAGTATCTCACACACTTTGCGAGCCGATCCTTGAACCGGCTTGTGCAAGCACAGCCAGTCTTTAAATACATTTCTAAACATAAGTGGGAGTCGCGTAATATATTCCAACGAACGAACGAACGAACGAACGAGTTCTAGATCCATGATCGACAAAAAAAAATACCTCAATTTACCGATAAACTCGAAACTTTATTAATCGTTCAAAAAAATATCACAAAAAATCACAAACTTGTCTTAGCTGATGTCTGAGAGCGATCGTTATCTCAACGATCTTATTTGTATTTTTATTATTTTTTGTTTTTTTATCATTTCCTATAGATCAACGATAATATTCATTCATGATATTCTAAATAATTCATTAAAAAAAGTGGAAACTTTAATTGTAGAAAATAAAAATAGCAAAGAGCGCGGCGATTGGAAGGAGTAGATGAAAATGTGCAATAAATCAAGATCAAAGTCTTGGATATTATTACGGTATAGTAGAGTACAGTAGAGAATCCTTTAAAGGATGCTCGCGGTATCGCGTGGGTTGTCAAGATCGTGGCAGGATCGTGGCAGGATCGGTGGCAGGATCGGTGGCAGGATCGGTGCAGAATCGTGAGGTAGAATCGCGAGATAGGGTGCTACCGTAGGTACCTTCTCCCGTCAGCTTCAACAGACAACATATTCCAATCCGGTCCGTTCAAGAAAAGCTTATCGGTCGTCTTAATATTATAAATTAAGAGAAAGTATAGATAGACCCCGATTTGGCACGAGTCTAAAGGTAATACAAGTTGTAGCAAAAAGAGAACCAACTGGCAACGAACTCGCGTCTTTCGAGAAAAAGAGAAAGAAAGAAACAACCATCAGCGAATCAGAGCTGAACTATCGTACAGTATCAATGCTAGGGGAGCTCCAAGTTGACACAGATAATCGTTTGCGAGACGACGACGATGACGACGACGACGACGATGTCGTCGATGCGAGATTTTACGAGACTCGCTAAATTATTCGTCTTAACGAGGGCTGACCGATGACAACTCGACAAGACCTATCGCTGATTCACTCAAAAACATTCAAGTGGTATTTAAATCCAACTAAATTGATTCTAAACCTTGCTTCAAGATTTTTCAAAAACATTATCGTCTCTAATCGATAATAATCATGCAATAATGACGATAATCCATGTTGAAAAGATTCGAAATGCAAGTTGCATAATAGAAAGTTGTAGTTCTACATTTTGAAAAGATCCTGCGTGATATACTTACGTATATACTAAGCTCTTTTTTGCTTTGTACGATGCTCTGTATACTATTTACACGTGCCAATCGCGAAAGTTAATTAGATGGAAAATACGCAACAACGTCAAAAGTATGTCGACGAATACGCGGAAATATATTTTTCCGATTTTTTTCTAATTACAAATATTTCAGTGGCAAGATTTTTCGTTAGATCGATCATCGGTTATCATCGAATCAGCCGCGACAATCTATGTCGAATGAGATTTTTAAATAAATGTCGATCACTCCTATATAAAGACACCGTACAAGCTTGTTCGAGCGTGCTTGACAACGTGCCTGACTTATTATCTTTACGACTGCCTAACGCCTGCCTAACGCCTGCCTAACGCCTGGCACATGCCTGTCCTCAATGAAGTTGCTTTATTGTTCTTCCTGTCTCTGCTTGAACGACGTCTGGATCATTAGGTACAACAAATAAGTAAAAAAAAAAGTCAATGCTGATTGACGAATCTAATCTGATTATTATATCAAACCGTACGTTAGATATCGAATGCCTAATCTCGACTATAAATAATGCTACATATCTACTACAATAAAACTTCATGAAAATTTATTAGAGAAAATAAATATGAATATTCTCGTATTAACAAAATTGTGAAAATCACGAGAAAAATTAGATAAAAATATTAATGAATTAGAAGAAATTTCCAAGTGTTTCTTAATCACGAAAGGATGGAGGTTTTCTTAGACGTTTGATCTAGCCTCGTGCTCATAAAACGATCAACTTGTTCCGAACTAAGTCGAGCTCGTAAGTCAAGATCTTGTTGACTTAAGACTAACTCGAATTCCGTCGTACCTATACATATATAAATACGTAAATACTACTTGGATAGGTAAAGTACACTATCAATCCTTATCTCGATCTGATACAAGACGCGATAATGAACGAACCATCGGAGAAGAATCTTGTAACAGGAATGTAACCTGCAAGTCGATACATAATATTTCTTTTATAAACGAATCTATACAAATATAAATGCATGGTTATAAGTGTGCGTGTTTGCTCGCAAACACAACGGCTGTAACTCTCGGTGTCCGCCCCCTGATGTATAGCAGTGAAAGCTAGGTGTGGAATAAGAGGCGTGACAAATCGTAGAATTAGGTCGTCCAATGTATAACGCAGTTTTCTGCGTGTGCATGAAATCGACATAGATATCGTATGGTCGCGTATACGTGTATTAGGTGCAAATGAGCTCGTGGAAAAAATCGCGACTCCCAAAGCTATGTATATTGTATATATTTCTCTCTTTCCGTATCTATCCATTCATCCATCGATCTATCTGAAACCTTCCACGCTTGTCCTCTGCGTGCGAGCGTGAAATACACGCTTACGCGGTCCGCACGAGCAAGCACGAGCGAGCAAGCACGTTTCCACTGGTGATTAATCCCCATGCGAGTCGCCATAATTCGCCCCTGAATTAGCTCGTAAACGGACCGAATCACAGTCAACGGATTAAATAAGAGCTTTTCGATACGGCTTCTGGTCTTATCTCTTTGCGATTCCTTCTTATTACCGAACAACTACTACGTGACAATATTTTCTTAACGAAAAACGGAGTCTCGTTCTTCTAGAAGACTAGTCAAACCAGTGTAATACGAACGAAGAAAAGCAAGGAGAAAGAATAGTGTATTGTCGCGCGACGATACAATACACTTGCCTTTAGTTGCAACCGCGAAAAATAATCCTGCTTTGTCTATGACTCTTTACCTACCACCACCCGTCGGGGATATTCTAGTGCACCTCGACACGCACCTCGACACGCACCTCGACACCCACCTCGACACCGCACAGTTATTCGAAACCCTCGACCACGGACGAAGCTTCTTTGACGATGCGATTACTTACACTTTGCAACACCCCTAATCATTTTAATGACTAAATTTTGTCATATATTTTACAAAGTAACAAGTTTCATCGTCGAGCCTACAAGACAAAGAAATCCAAATGGTGAGGAACAATGAAGCGTAGCTGCTCTTTTGCTGAAACTCGGTAATCATTTTCCGTAGTTTATTGCGCCAGACTCTCCATGAAAGGCGGACGCTGAAATACTGGTAAAAAAAAAAAACGTCATGACTCAATCACGAATCGGCAAGAGAAATCGCGCGACGCGACGCGACGCAACACGACACAAACTCGTCGTCAGGATTCCTTTCCTTTTTTTTTTATTATATTTTAACTTTCTTTAAATATTTGTTGTTATATTTTTGTTCTATCAAAATGACTTAATACCAATTGGTTAGACTCGCGAGTAATATCGAAACGAAATGAGTCGGTGGTTGTTTCTTAAACTCTCTCTCTCTCTCTCTCTCTCTCTCTCTCTCTGAGTGATCATGGGCTACGAAAGGGCGCGTCATGCAGGAAAGAATGGTCGGAAAGAAAGAACGAAAGGAAGAAAGAAAGAAAGAAAGAAAGCAAGTACTTTATAAGCCGGATACCAAATGTTAGCGTTTGAACGCGAGAAGAGGTTCGTTTGAAAAAGAATGGCAACGTTTAAAGGGGCTTAAAGTCAGCACCGACGTAATCGCTCCTGTCGATCTTCTCTCGTCGAAGACGTGAGCCCCTCTCATGGTAGATAAGAAAAAGGAGAAAGAGTAGTCGATTATTGGAATCATTGTGTCCCACACGAGAATTCATAATAGGCCCCGTCGCTTCCATCTACTTTATCTGTTGCTGATACGAGAATAAAGAACGTCCCTTAGCGAATCTCAATCTGCCCTTTCCCCTCTACTCTTCTTGCTCTCATTGTAATCTCAAACTGTTTGGAAAAAGAGAGAGAGAGAGATGATTTCCTCAGTCATCGTAGTACGGATCGAGTTCTCTTGAAATAAAATCCTGATCGATGGTACGCATGATCGATCGACGATCTCTTTTTTGTTTTTATACAAAATGTAGTTTGAAAAGAAAATGTCGTCACGTTGTTATGTAACTCTCGTTCCTTTCGATCAAACGTAACGCAAATTGTCAAATATAGAAAAAATAGGTTTGTTGAGATTGTTCAATAAGAAAGTTAGGATTATGGAATCGTGACTGATCTTGGACTTTGTTATTTGCGAGATTATACAAAGCCCCCTGATGACACCATTAATTACGTTTTCTTATAATTCGACAATTTCAATTGGGTTCGTTAAACGATGGGAAAGAGATTCTGTTTCTGTCGGAATTCTGTCACACAGAAGAGTCCGAATCTAAGCGCGGGAGAAAAGCGCGGGAGAAACGCGAATGGGCGAGTAGCCATCGGAAAAGACAGGATGTCGGGATAATACACATTATAGTCCGGGAGTTATTACGCAGCAAGTATAGTTTGAGACGATAGTGACGGTGACGGTAGGAGTACGAGTATGCCGGAAAGACCAAACTCCCGCGTGTCTACTTGCTTTTCCTGCATGAATGAAATGTAATTTAGACTTACTCAAGTACCCGTATTTTCATTCATCCTACATTAATGTGCGTACAAGATTATGCGAGATTATTCCATCGAGTAGCTACCGGCCGGTAAATCTAAAACGTCTACCTTTGCAAATGTTCTCGTCAAAAGATTCGTCATTTTATTATTTGCACATTGTTATACATCGATATATATATATATATATATAAGTATAGCATTTATTTAAATATGTAACATATGAACGGTGAGTATCTATCAAATGTTACGTACATCAACTTACTTCCTATGGAATAAAAATAATTGTTTAGATCGACGAACGCGATACAGGGAATAATATTAGAATTAGAAACGGGCCTGCGCACGAGTTCTATGAAACTGAAAATTATAGAGGTTTTAATCGTGAAAGGCATCGAAGAGGTAATAGTGTTCGGACGTGAGTGAGCGAGCGAGCGAGGGTGGTACCGAGAAGGTCAAGAAAGGGGTAAAAATCGGTGAGGAGGAATCACGGCTGGATGCACTCCCTCTCCCTGCTGCGTTCACGCACTTTTACCGTCGGACCTTTTTTTTCAATGAGGGGAACTACCAACGTCCTCGCCGACCACGACGACCTGTTGAGTACGTATGATATGTAATACGAATTCCATCCAAAACAAAATTACATTTTGTTTTTCAATTTAATATTGTATCATTTAATATTGCAGAAACAATATGTACTTTCTTAAAGGCACGTCATTCATCCTGCTCCACTTTCTCTCGCATCGTCATTTTTGCAAATGACACTTATTAGCAAGAACCGGTAATGATCGTCCAAGAAACGAACCCATTGCTAGTTCCTTTTTCTTTTCTTTTTTACGTAATCACTCACGATACTCTCTTGCACGTTTTCTTTCTCTACGTATATAAAAAGAGAATAGGAAGAAACGCGATGCCATTGATAGTTTTCCCTTCGATAAGTTCCAGTCGTGTCAGGAGAATCACCAAGGATGATCAGATTTCCTTTAACCGTTGCGATCCTCGTAATGACGAGTACGCTCGCTGAATTCGCTAGCATTCGCAATAACGAGTGGAGTTCGTTAAATTTGCAATTTCTCGAAAGACGAGCTCGAGCTACAGGTGAACGATCATCCACAATAATTCTAATTGCATTCATAAATGTTCTTTAATCTATTCCAAACGATTTGCAGATCCAGCTGACGCCATAATCATTGAATTACTGCGAAAGATATCGAGCGGTCAGTCCGATCCAAGAGACGACGAAGAACTAGTCGAACGTATAAAAGAAGTGATAATAACAACAGCCACGAGAATTAAAACATCTTCCGGATCGATCGAAGGTGCAGCACGAAGAGCTCAATATTTAGTTTCCGAATTGACCTCGGCTTACACCGGTGCAATTTACAGATCTAAAAGCATTGACGAGGCACGACGAAACTTTGCCAGATTTCAATATACCGTGCAACGTATCGTTGATTTTACCAAAAGTGGACGTTTCGTCGTCGCTTGAAATCGTATAATCTACAAACAAAAAAAACAAAAAACAAACAAAAAAGCAACGAATAAAAAATGATTATTTTGTAAGCTTCCGTATGTTGGAAAGTTTGGACCTACCCTGTAGATAAAATACGCTTGTAAAATCGTAAAACAACGTTAGAATAAAGAAGGAAAGAAAAAAAAACAGTGTAGGTATTCTTTGTACGTATTATAACGCGAAATGTGGCAAGAGAATTATTATCCTCGCTGACGTATCACCAGCGAGCAGACGATCCATTGTAAAAGCAGCGTCGGCGTCGAGCTCATAATCTGGCGATGTACGTAGGATCTTGGAGAGCCCGAAGAGCTGACCGGAACTGCGCCTATGCTCTCTCGCCGGAAGTGCCGCTGCCACATGTAGTAATATAAATTATAATGCCCTTACGGTTTTTCCTTTCGCGGGATTTGCATTTAAAACACCAACCGGAATGGCATTGTCGTTCAAATCGCCAAATTCAATTTTCATGGAAATAAGAAAGCCATCTGGTGTCAACCTCGATCCACCTATCCTCCAGTCCCAACCTTTTCAATTCGTTTTCCATTGATCTATTGTCTATTTACGATATAGCTAATTACATTAATACAATTATTTGATCCGTAAGATATTTTATCGGACGAATATCCGTAAAAGGAAAGCAAAAAAGAACAAATTGGTAAATTAAGGTCATTCTTCTCGCATCTGACAACGGTGCCAAGGCCTATCTCGGATCGAAATCGTTAAGAAACGACACGCTTTCACCCACGTCCTAGGAAAACTAGCGCTTTTTTTTTCTCCATTTTCAGGGACGTCTTTTGTAAAAGGGTGCTTTTTATTTGCATATAATATCTAGACAAAATATATATATATATATGTATATATAGAAATATTCGCCTATTTTAAATAATAAAAAATAGCACACACAAGATTCAGGAAAGTCACAACGTAAGAATAAAATACAACGTTAGAATATTTTTTCTTTTGCTTGTTGCACAAGAGGATAATAAACATCGCGTCGAGTCTGCTACCGTACCGACTAGAGATAGAGGTACAACGACGAAACAATGCGGCATTGTTCCGACAAGTTCGACCCGCCAAAGCAGAGACCCGAAGGCAAGCACCGTGTTAAAGTCATGCAAGCTATTACAGGTTGCACGTGCTCCTCAGCTTCGGCCTACCAATTCCTCGCTAGCACAAAACTTTCAATCTATTTTTTATTATCTTAGTACGATCTTTTACTTTTTATTTCAATGTTATCCCCAATTTTGTGGAACCCTGGTGTTGATTTATCAAATTATTATTATTAATTAGAATGAAACTAAAATTGTTGGAAGGAAAGTTGGAAGGTAATAATAAGCGTTGTTTAGCCGTAATACCGAAAGAGAATCGGCACCGGTATGCAGCAGCAACAGCAGCAGCAGCAGCATTCCGTAGGGCATAACTTAAGCGAGCACCGAGCTCACGAAGAGAGAAGAGACGGGTCACGACGCCATGTGTGCGGCCTACCAACCACACCCACCACCTATTTATTTATGTCTACCTCACGGCTTTTTGTTCCTAGATGGTCGGAGCTTTCACTGCGATGCCCCCGCCGGAACCGATCGTTCCTACTTTCTTTCTAAACCTTTTCCTGCCAAACAACTTTATTTTCATTTTATATGAAATTAGTTGGACAACAATTGAGTAATAAAAATATTTCTTATATTTTCTTTTTTTTTTTAATTCGCTACTCTCTCAACGTTAACCATAAGAAACCGGTAGAAAAAATGCATAACACGTTGTATACAATATTCGTACAATCAAGGAAATCGTGAGGACGATATAAACGAGCGATAAGCGACAAGTTGGACCGATAAACTTTCGGCATAATAAAGCAAAGTACGAGTCTCGTGTTCTCGAGATGGATATAAAACGCGGAAGCGAAAAGAAGCCGAAAAGGGCTTGAGTCGTGACTTTTGAATTCCGACTGGATGCACGATTCTCTCCTGAGAATTTGTATGATTTCAACGTCTCCAGAAAATACTTTTATTTCTTTTTTACTACTTTCATTAGTTTGAGACACGAACCTAATCAATTATCTTCAGATTCTAGATTTGTTCTTTTTGTTTGTACTAGCTGATTAGTAAAGGCAAATAAATCTCCCCCATCGTTATCGTCTTTCCAATGTTTACCGTTAAAACCGGTAACTCGGTTCTCCTCTCAAATATACGATATCTTTGTTTCAACGTATTATACTTTACGATCTTCCGTTAATTTTCAAGCGTTAAACTTCCGATAATTTGCAATGACGATATTCGACAAACATTTGATCATCTTAACGATTCTCAACGCATATACGTACATATTTTCATGACAATTAAGAAAACGTTTGAATGAAAAAGTGTTCATTTATATCCCAGCTTTCGTTTTTGATGAAAATAATTTCGGCGAGTAATAATAAAGAAAAAAAATGAAACAAAAGGAAGAAGTAAGGCACAAACTAGATTTAATCTTGGACGATAGAAACTCTGGTAAATATAAGGATCGAGATAGGTGCGTGGCTGGATATCACTGAGGTGCGTCCCTCAACGAGAAGAGGACAACTCTTTCTATCCCTTTACCTATTCGACTTCACAGGTCTCGCGCGCGAGTCGAGTCTTATCTCGGCACTCGGATCTTTACTAACAATAAGCGAGATGGTAGAAAAAAATAGATGACGATGGCGGTGAGCTTTTCAAATAACTATAATGAGAGCAATTATCGTGCGCGCGGCCAACCAGAGTGTGACGACTTACGAACATGGCAGAAAGAATTGCGCGGAGAAACGAATAGAAAAAGAAGGAACAAATTCGACGGTAGCAACAACGACTACGACGACGACGACGACGTTGACAAAAAATAAATAGAAACTAGAAAAAAAAGGAAAAAAAGGAAAAAAAAGAAAAAAGAGATAGGCAGCGCGTGGCAGGCGTTTCCTCCCTCTCAAGCAGAGTCTTCGAGCGTGCAACCGCCTCCACGACTACTTTCTTACCTGCGTTCCTTATTCTCTTCTTCTACCGCCTCCTTGCCGCCTCCTTGCCACCCCACCCCACCCCCCGGAAGACCGTACCCCGAGAGGAACTGCGGGTCAGAGAGCACGAGGCATATTCGACGCAGACTCGTGGCTCGTGCCTAGATCCATTGGCGTCCAACGTTATTTATTCTAGTTATTCTATTTATTCCTTACGTAGGTATAACGTCAAGGTTACATATATTAATAAATAAACCAAAGGACTCGAGCAAATTGATAAAAAATATCGATGCTATTTTGAATTGAAGAAATCTCCAATTATCTTAGCGTTAAAATAACACTCGATATGACCTATAATAACCCTTCGATGTAATTACAGATATTGGAGATAAAATATTGGAGTAGGATGGATGGCACGTGGTAAAAAAAAGACGTAACAAGTATGGCCAAATGATATTGGATTGATATTTGTTTGGGTAGGTTCGACGCCGATGCGAGCGAGAACGATATAACGAGAAACGTGTTGCTTGGAGAGCGTACGGGAGCGAAGTAGCCTCGCTTATGGTCCGGTGGTGCCCGAGGAGCATAACAGTTCGCGGAGCATAACGCCACGAGCCATCATATCCTCCTTCGGCTCTTCGTCTTGGCTTCTTCGTCTTGGCTTCTTCGTCTTGGCTTCTTCTCCTCGTCGTCCATCTTCTTGCTGCGCGTAGGCGAAACGACGCACGAACACGCGCCGCTCTTCTACGAGACCACCATATTCCTTTCTCTCTCTCTCTCTCTTTCTTTCTTGTTTTTTAACGCGTCCTCATACATCTTGCTTAATGATTGTGAGACTCCGTTTTAAGTGGCTTAAATATACGTATACGTATACGTATAAAAAATTGTGATGATTACTATTCGTTTCTTTAACAGAAGATTAATATCTTCCCCTTTTGCCTGAAACTTTTCCTTGTAAGAATAAAATAATCGGAAAACAAATATGGTCAACTTTAAAGATTAAAGAAATATTGGAAACATTTCAATATTCATTTATCATTATTCAGCAAACGAGTCAGTTATTAAAACGGTTTTACATGAAGAATATAATAACGCCAAGGTGACAAAAAAAAAGGATAAGAAAAAATGAATCAAGTGGGAGATTTAGCGTGGAACGTGCGCACGTTCCTTCGGTTTCCACGAACTAGATCGGTCAGGTAGATATTAGGAGCATCGCGTCTGCCATTGCAAAGCGCGGCAAGTGCACAGGCAAGTGCACCGACAAGTGCACCAGCAAGTGCACCAGCAAGTGCACCAGCAAGTGCTCCTGCTTGTCGGCTTCCTTGCTTGCCTTGCTACTTCTCCGTGGTTATTGTCCAGCTCGAATTCCTACCAAAAATTATAACCTTTCTATGCTTCTATGCTATAGAAATAAATAAAAATAATAGAAAATATTGTTAGTCCAGTTGGATCCAGGACGAGAGAGGAGTAGGTAATCGTAAAAATTGTACGCGCCAGTGATCCTTTTCTTTCGCACCTTCGAATAAAGGAGAAAGTTTGACTTCCGCGTAGTACGTTACCCCTTCTCATCGTGATGTTTAAACTTCCGCAAACTTGTCCATACAAAAGAAGCAAATTTATATTTTCCATTTAAAAATATGACTGATTAAACTTTTATAATTTCTTCCTTTCTTTCTGTTGTTTAAAAGTAGAAGATAGCAAAGGCGAAGATCCGTTGTCCAGCGGCAAACGGCAGGAAGCCAATAAGAAGAAGCTAACTCGCGATGAGATTTTTGGTACGATAATCGTAGGGAAACTACGGACACCCATTGTGACAACCCCTTTCCCCCCGTTCAGTCTCCTCCTCCTCCTCCTCCTCCACCTCCTCCTCGGCATCGCTATGAACACGATAATTGCGCCGGTAATAACTCGGTAAACAGACAAGTTCGCTATCTTCATCGTCGTTATTGTTGGTCAGGCGGGTGTTACTGACCGCTCAAATAATTATATACCGTTCTTTTTTCGTCGCTAAATCTTGTGCAATTAAACCATTTACAATACTATTCTTATTCCTCGATATTAAAATTGGAATGTTCAATTTCATGAAGTTTTTCCCTTAGTGATTTTTCTCGACGGACGTTGACGCTTCAAGATAGAAAGGGTGAAGGGTAAGAAGAGGAAGGAGGGCGAGTGAATGAACGAGTGGATCCAAAGAGAAGTTGGAAGGAGTAGGATCGCCAG